ATTGGACTAGTGAAGGTAGTTGTAGATGTAGTAGTGGTAGTTGTAGCTGGTGTTGTGGTAGTTGTTGGATTAAATGTGATTGCTGGTATAGTAGTGGTAGTTGTAGGTGGTGTTGTGGTTGTTGTAGATGTGGTAGTGGTAGTTGTAGGTGTAGTAGTGGTTATTGTAGGTGTTGTTATGGTAGTTGTTGGTGTAGTGGTTGTTGTAGGTGTAGTAGTGGTAGTTGTAGGTTTTGTTGTGGTAGTTGTTGCAGTAGTGGTAGTTGTAGGTGTACTAGAGGTAGTTGTAGGTGTGGTAGTTGTAGTTGTTGGAGTAGTAGTGGTAGTTGTAGGTGTAGTAGTGGTAGTTGTAGGTGTAGTAGTGGTAGTTGTAGGTGTAGTAGTGGTAGTTGTTGGAGTAGTGGTAGTTGTAGGTGTAGTAGTGGAAGTTGTAGGTTTTGTTGTGGTAGTTGCAGAAGTAGAAGTGGTAGTTGTTGGTGTTGTTGTGGTAGACGTGGGACTAGTGTAGGAAGTTGTAGGTGTAGTAGTTGTTGTTGTAGGAATAGTAGTGGTAGTTGTAGGTGGTGTTGTGGTAGTTGTTGAAGTAGATGTGATTGCTGGTATAGTAGTGGTAGTTGTAGGTGGTGTTGTGGTAGTTGTAGGTGTGGTAGTTGTTGGTGTGGTATTGGTTGTTGTAGGTGTGGTAGTGAGTGTTGTAGGTGAAGTAGTGGTAGTAGTGGTAGTTGTATAAATAATAGTGGTTGCTGTAGGTGTGGGAGTGGTAGTTTTAGGAATAGTTGTGGTTGTTGTAGGTGTAGTTGTGGTTGTTGTAGGTGTAGTAGTGGTTGTTGTAGGTAAAGTAGTGGTGGTTGTTGGTATAGTAGTGGTTGTTGTAGGAGTGGTACTGGTTGTTGTAGGAGTGGTACTGGTTGTTGCAGGTAAAGAAGTAGTAGTTGCATGGATAGAAGAGGTGGTTGTTGGTATAGTAGTGGTTGTTGTAGGAGTAGTTGTGGTAGTTGTAGGTGTAGTAGTGGTTGGTGTAGGTGTGGTAGTGGTAGTTGTTGGTGTAGGTGTGGTAGTGGTAGTTGTTGGTGTAGGTGTGGTAGTGGTAGTTGTTGGTATATGTGTAGTAGTGGTAGTTTTAGGTGTTATAGTTGTAGTTTTAGGTGTGGTAGTGGTTGGTGTAGTTGTAGTAGTGGTAGTTGTAGGTGTGGTAGTGGTAGTTGTTGTAGGTGTGGTAGTTGTTGGAGTAGTAGTGGTAGTTGTAGGTGTAGTAGTGGTAGTTGCTGGTGTAGGTGTGGTAGTGGTAGTGGTAGTTGTTGGTATAGGTGTGGTAGTGGTTGTTGTTGGTATATGTGTAGTAGTGGTAGTTTTAGGTGTTATAGTTGTAGATGTGGTAGTGGTTGGTGTAGTTGTAGTAGTGGTAGTTGTAGGTGTGGTAGTGGTAGTTGTTGGTGAAGGTGTGGTAGTGGTAGTTGTTGGTATATGTGTAGTAGTGGTAGTTTTAGGTGTTATAGTTGTAGATGTGGTAGTGGTTGGTGTAGTTGTAGTAGTGGTAGTTGTAGGTGTGGTATTGGTAGTTGTTGGTGTAGGTGTGGTAGTTGTTGTTGTTGTAGGTGTGGTAATTGTAGTTTTTGGTGTAGGTGTGGTAGTGGTAGTTGTTGGTGTAGGTGTGGTAATGGTAGTTGTTGGTGTAGGTGTGGTAGTTGTAGTTGTTGGTGTAGGTATGGTAGTGGTAGTTGTAGGTGTGGTAGTTGTTGGAGTGGTAGTGGTAGTTGTAGATGTAGTAGTGGTAGTTGTATGTGTTGGAGTGGTAGCTGTAGTTATTGGAGCAGTAGTGGTAGTTGTAGGTGTAGTAGTGGTTGGTGTAGGTGTAGTAGTGGTAGTTGTAGGCATGGAAGTGATTGGTGTAGGTGTAGTAGCGGTAGTTGTATGATGTGGAGTGGTAGCTGTAGTTATTGGAGCAGTAGTGGTAGTTGAAGGTGTAGTAGTGGTTGGTGTAGGTGTAGTAGTGGTAGTTGTAGGAATGGTAGCGGTTGTTGTAGGAGTGGTAGTGGTAGTGGTAGTTGTAGGAGTGGTAGTGGTTGTTGTAGGTAAAGTAGTGGTAGTGGTAGTGGTTGTTGTAGGAATAGTAGTGGTGTTTTTTTGTATAGTAGTGGTAGTTGTAGGAATAGTAGTGGTGGTTTTTGGTATAGTTGTGGTTGTTGTAGGAGTGGTAGTGGTTGTTGTAGGAGTAGTAGTGATAGTTGTAGGTGTAAGTGTGGTAGTGGTAGTTGTTGGTGTAGGTGTGACAGTTGTAGTTGTTGGTGTAGGTGTGGTAGTGGTAGTTGTAGTTGTTGGTGTAGGTGTGGTAGTGGTAGTTGTAGGTGTGGTAGTTGTAGGTGTGGTAGTGGTAGTTGTTGGTGTAGGTGTGGTAATGGTAGTTGTTGGTGTAGGTGTGGTAGTTGTAGTTGTTGGTGTAGGTGTGGTAGTGGTAGTTGTTGGTGTAGGTGTGGTAGTTGTAGTTGTTGGAGTAGTAGTTGTAGGTGTAGTAGTGGTAGTTGTAGGTATAGTAGTGGTAGTTGTAGGTGGTGTTGTGGTAGTTGTAGGTGTGGTAGTTGTAGGTGTGGTAGTGGTAGTTGTAGGTGTTTGTGTAGGTGTGGTAGTGGTAGTTGTTGGGGTAGGTGTGGGAGTGGGAGTTGTTGGTATATGTGTAGTAGTGGTAGTTTTAGGTGTTATAGTTGTAGTTTTAGGTGTGGTAGTGGTAGTTTTTGGTGTAGGTGTGGTAGTGGTAGTTGTTGGTATATGTGTAGTAGTGGTAGTTTTAGGTGTTATAGTTGTAGTTTTAGGTGTGGTAGTGGTTGGTGTAGTTGTAGTAGTGGTAGTTGTAGGTGTGTTAGTGGTTGTTGTTGGTGTAGGTGTGGCAGTGGTTGTTGTTGTAGGTGTGGTAATTGTAGTTTTTGGTGTACGTGTGGTAGTGGTAGTTGTTGGTGTAGGTGTGGTAATGGTAGTTGTTGGTGTAGGTGTGGTAGTAGTAGTTGTTGGTGTAGGTATGGTAGTGGTAGTTGTAGGTGTAGGTGTGGTAGTTGTAGTTGTTGGAGTAGTAGTGGTAGTTGTAGGTGTAGGTGTGGTAGTTGTAGGCATGGAAGTGATTGGTGTAGGTGTAGTAGCGGTAGTTGTATGTGTTGGAGTGGTAGCGGTAGTTATTGGAGCAGTAGTGGTAGTTGTAGGTGTAGTAGTGGTTGGTGTAGGTGTAGTAGTGGTTGTTGTAGATGAAGTAGTGGTAGTTGTAGGTGTAGTAGTGGTTGTTACTGGTGTTTTAGTGGTAGTTGTAGGTGTAGCAGTGGTAGTTGTTGGTGTAGTGGTTGTTGTTGGTGTAGTAGTGGTAGTTGTAGGTGTAGTAGTGGTAGTTGTAGGTGTATTAGTGGTAGTTGTAGGTGCAGTAGTGGTTGTTGTTGGTGTAGCAGTGGTTGTTGTTGGTGTAGTAGTGGTAGTTGCAGGTATAGTAGTGGTAGTTGTAGGTGCAGTAGTGGTTGTTGTTGGTGTAGCAGCGGTTGTTGTTGGTGTAGTAGTGGTAGTTGCTGGTATAGTAGTGGTAGTTGTAGGTATAGTAGTGGTAGTTGTAGGTGCAGTAGTGGTTGTTGTTGGTGTAGCAGTGGTAGTTGTAGGTGTAGTAGTGGTTGGTGTAGGTGATGTGTTGGAGTGGTAGCTGTAGTTATTGGAGCAGTAGTGGTAGTTGTAGGGGTAGTAGTGGTTGGTGTAGGTGTAGTAGGGGTAGTTGTAGGTGTATTAGTGGTAGTTGTAGGTGCAGTAGTGGTTGGTGTTGGTGTAGCAGTGGTTGTTGTTGGTGTAGCAGTGGTTGTTGTTGGTGTAGCAGTGGTAGTTGTAGGTATAGTAGTGGTAGTTGCAGAGTAGTGGTAGTTGTATGTGTTGGAGTGGTAGCTGTAGTTATTGGAGCAGTGGTGGTAGTTGTAGGTGTAGTAGTGGTTGGTGTAGGTGTAGTAGTGGTAGTTGTAGGGGAAGTAGTGGTAGTTGTAGGTGTAGTAGTGGTTGGTGTAGGTGATGTGTTGGAGTGGTAGCTGTAGTTATTGGAGCAGTAGTGGTAGTTGTAGGGGTAGTAGTGGTTGGTGTAGGTGTAGTAGTGGTAGTTGTAGGTTTTGTTGTGGTAGTTGCTGTAGTAGTGGTAGTTGTAGGGATAGTAGTGGTAGTTGTAGGTATAGTAGAGGTAGTTGTAGGTGTGCTAGTGGTAGTTGTTGTTATATCAGTAGTTGCAGGCCTAGTAGAAGTGGGTGTAGATGTGTAAGTGGTAGTTATGTATAGAGTAGTAGAAGTTATGACGTCTGTTGTATGAGTGGCTAATGTGTTAGGTGGGATAGATGATATTGATTCAGTTGTTTCAGTTGGTGACATAGTGTTACTGTCTTCTGAAAAAATAAACATATAATGCATTCATAAAATCACATATAACATCAATCACAGCATTCACAACCAAATGGAATCAACTCCAAACACACATGTTTTGATGCAAACATAGTCAATTAAAATCTATGGTAAGTGGTATTGTATACTTCCAAATATATAGAAGTAAGCAGGACACGTCGCCTGTGAGGATACCTATCTTTAGGAGATTACGCCATTGTCTTCCTACTAGAGTCAGTAAGTGACACTGAATTCTGTTGTTTGTCACTAAAACAGTTTGACTAAACAGTCTCCTAAACATGCACTCCCCAGTTACTACATGCAGCCACCCCCTCCAACACTAAAACTACAATACCTTGTCATTTATATCTAGGCAACATATATCTACTGTTTAAACTATGAAGTTTAACTGGCTACAATGTCATTATTTGTATCTCATTGAGAATCTATGAATACAGTGTAATTAAAGATCTTCATGCCATAATGCATCATACCGTATACATATAGATGTCATTCACTATATGAAACATTCTGCAGCTATATCACATTCCAGTAGCACCTACACCAATGTTGGACATTGATACCATGAGAGAGCTGTGTAAAGTGAAGGCCTTATATAATTACCTGATAGACACTGGACCACACTTGCATCCCATGTTGACCCTATAGGACAGGAATAGTGCGTTTCTGTCAATCGGAAATCCACATTTTGGTCCAAATTAATGACCACCGGACACTTAGTAATATCAACCATATCAGGGATGTCCAAGTCAAACAACAGCTTCAAGGCATCAACAATTCTTGCTTCCATGGAAGGTGCGCACGACTGTAATGCTCCAGCATTGTTACTTTTGCTCCACAGCTCAAATGGAATTTTGATCATAGCCTAAATGAGCATGAAAGTAGTTATGGTTAGCAAATTCCAATACAGATGTAGCATCTTGCCTTGTAGAGCAGAAAGCTCTCTAGAACATAAAACTTTTTTGTAAACAGGCATATGGTTATAACGTTTATTGGCATTAAGACTTGTTCGTATTAAAAATTAACAATAATTTTCAGTGGATATTTCAAACCTGAATTTGTTTTACATGAGTGTACCCCCCCCCCC